AAAAAAAGAAAAAACACTTTTTGAAGAAACAGCCAGCTTGTTTAGCTTGTCTGATATTCCAGATGCATGGTCGTTCACCTAAGTCTCTCCCGCCCCTCTCAACAGATTGATGAGTTCCAGGTGTTTACGCCGTGGCACGCCGCTGCAGTGGCGGGTTGTGGGTTTCATATGGGGCGGCGGACGGGCTTTGGAGGACGCCGGTCGGCGTGAACAAATGCCGGTATTGCTGTGACGAGCCCAATCTGTGCCGTTTCACGCCGCCCCTAATGAGGGTGAGGCAGCTGGGAACGCCAAATGTCTGGCACCTTTGATCCCTGTGAGTGGTTTGAAACGACCCGTTAGGGGGCTATTGAAGCGGTCGCAGTTAGGGTTAATACCTAATGTGCTGTTTATTTATTCATCGTGTGTTTGTGTTTTTGTCATAGATACTGGGAGCATTGTTGCCATGGATTACATGGGAAAGCCAGCATTTTTGGGCTGGATGACATACAAATGAACTTGTGAAACATTTTTCTGGAGTTAATATTTCACAAACAAGTTCTCTCATTAGGCCTGGAATTGTGCACCAGTCGTCTCTTTCCTCGGTCACTGCCGTATCCATTTCAGATTAACTTTTTTTTTCTTTCTGTGCTTACTGAGCTTTGGGGTTCATCGGGTCAAGATGGTGGGGGTGAAGCAGCACCGTTAGCGTTGCTGGGACCGCCTGGCGGGGGCCTTACGTCCGCCTAAGCGCATCTGCCCTTCCTGCCCACGGTAGCCTGTAGTTTACCCCAGTCTACTCCTCCCTCCAGCAGCCGGGCCCCAGTCCCTTGCTGGAAGTCGTTGACTGATCTCCCACAGCTCTAGTGCTTCCTGACGTACGTTCTGGTCTGTTGTTATTCCCCCTACCCCCTTCCCAAAAAAAGGATGAATGAGTGAGTTATAGAGGAACCCCCCCCCCCCCCCCCCCCCCCCCGCGGCCCCTTACGCCTGCTGCAGCCAAACAGCACGCAGAAGTGGGCAGGAAGTCCCAGCAGCAATCCAGCCGACCTATCGCTTCCTATCCTGAAGCGGCGCCAGGTCGTATAGGCCCGCGCGGCTCTGCGAGCCCCTCTCTGCGTCACAGGAAACGTCCTGCCTTACAGTTCACCCCAGCTCCGCTCCGCTCAGCAAGGGAGCCGAAATCCTTCAGTGGTTTATGTCATTAAGCTAACAATCAGGGCTATGTCAGGGACTATAATGCCTCCTCAGATGAGGAAGTCTCGTTACGGAGCTGCTGGTCTGAAGAGGTGATCCATAGTTTAACCACGCTGCGTCGAAGAACGAACCAAAGAGGGAACCGGGGGGGGTGGAGGGCACCTGGTCCGTTCTTTGCGCAGTTAGCGGTTCACACAAAGGCCTTCAGTTTCAGGACCCGATGAAGCGACGGTGGTCTAAGCGATGTTTTCATTTGTGCGTCCTGCTGAAATTACTCGCCAGAAGAAATAAAATCAATACTCCAGGCTCGTGTTTCTCAAGAAATCTCTTGAAAGGTTTTTTTTTTTTTTTTTTAACTGGACAGAGAAGTACTTTTGACTTCTTTCAAGTTCGGTGTCTGGACATCGTTAATGACCAAAAATCCAAATGTACCCTTAACAATAAGTCTGCATTTCATTCATCTGCCTCGGTTGGTGTCCCCCCATCCAGGTGAACCAAACGTGTGTGTGTGTGTGTGTGTGTGTGTGTGTGTGTGTGTGTGTATAACCCAACTGCGATAGTCTAATGACAAAATATTTACATTACTATGTACTTAACACTGTTCATTGAAGTGAAAGGTGTTTTTCTGTTACTCGTGAAGCGGTGGTAATGTTTAAATATTTAAAAAAAAAAGTCTTTGTAAGCAGGGATCTAATGGCGCAACAAAGAAATGATGGCTACAGATGTGAAGTTCAGCCAAATATTTGCTCCACATCAAAGTGACGCACACATTTTTCTAACGGCTTTATGGATTTTTTTTTAATCACGTACTTCTGCCCTGGTTTGATAACTGGAAAACTTGACCAAGGCGTCCTTTGTAAGGTGATCAAAGCCAGGCCTCATAGCGGTTTTCAGGATTTTATTTTCTCTGGTCCCAAACACTACTCTGATCTCATTTACTTTACTTTTTCTCCCCCCCCCTTTTTTTTCCCTTTTTGGGGTTTGTTTTTGAGGAGAAAGTTGATCCAACCCCCCCTGGCCCCTTTTCCTGCTGGGATTAAGAGGCCTGTTAGGCATATGTGATCCAGGAAATACCTTTAGTAGGCCCAACTGTGGTCTCTATAGCAACTGGCACTGCGACCTGCAGCTACAGGCCCCTGTGTGCCCCCCCCCCCCCCCCCTTTTATTGTCTGCACGCTTTTGTTGGGAGAGTTCTCTTAAACGCAGACAGAGGGCAGGAGGTATTACTGTAGCCAGGCTTCTAAACGTGTAACTTCCTTTAGGAGTGTGTTGGTGGCTTCCAGTCTGATGCTGCTCGTGTTTTACTTTATAGGTTTTAAAAAAAATATCCAACAGGAAGCCCAGATGAGATCTGGAAGTGAATATTTAAACTTCTCCTCACCCCCAAAATCCATGCCGCCGCCTTTTCCTTCGCCTCTCACCTTGCTGTCTGACATGTTTATCTGCTGGGGAAGCCATAGTTCTTTTGTCAGCCCAAGTGCTGATACGGTGTCACGTTTGACTGATCAAATTTTAAAATTGAGCTGATCCTGATTTTGTCACCCCTCCCCCCCCCCTCTAATCTCAAAGCAGTGAAGAATGAGAAGCTCACTGGAAAACAGCGGAAATCCGCTGAAGATACGTAGGGAGTACCGTCCCGTCCAGGTGCACCGTCGTCTGCGCGGGGGAGACCCGTCCGGTAATGGCTGCCTGTGGCCTTCAGAGCCCCGTGACAAATGGGCCGCCCTTTCTGCACCTCCGCCGAGGTGTGACACGAGAAGGGCTTGACACGCCGGCTTGACGCGGGGCCGGCTTTGTGTGCCTCCGGCCCCCATTGTTTCTTTGAAAGCCAATCCCCAGGGAGATCTGCTGTGTGTTAGTCACACCAGGCCTGGGCTCTGGGGAATCCATGCTTCCTAAACAGAGTGGACCCAGGAGGGCAATACTAGCTGACCCCCTCCCCCTCCCGGACCTTTTTGCCGGCCCCTCTGCCCTCTCATCATGCCTGACCGCTGCCTCTACACATCCCCTGTCCTCACTCAGCTCAGGGCCAGCTATTCCAGGGCCCCTGCACCGTACTGCTGCTCCCCAGCCCCTATGTTTACAGTCTAGCAGAAATCAGCTCACATCGCTCTTAATCCAGAACATAGCTCTGGGGTTTTTAAATGCAAACTTCAGTCAGTTTCCCTAGTTTTTACATTCTCCTCTCAAGAAAAGGCTGTATGTATTGTGTTTTTGAAGAGGAAGTTCCTTTCCATATCACTGTTTCACCCAGGGGAAATATTTCATATTTCTGAGTGTGTCACTGTAAAATGTCTATGATCATTCATGAAGAAGCGGAGGACAGTTGTGAGATTAATAATTAGGGGAGGCCCCTTTTTTTTTGAATGCTTTAGTTGTTTCATCCTCCCTTTGGGAAGTCCCAGAGTTGTTAACTTTAGGCACTTTCCCACCATAGGAACTTTTTTCTAAAACCAGAACTTTTTTTCAGGAACCAGGAACTTCTGTCAGATTCCTTTGGCAGGAACTTGGTTCGATTGTAGTTCCTCAGAGGGAGTTCCCGAATCTTTTTTTTTTTTTTTAAAGTCCTTGTTGCAGACTAGGTATTTTTCATTCGTCCACAAACTTCTGGGGTGTGCCTTATAGGGATAATCTTGCCGAACACAATTTACGTGAAAGTGCAGGATAAGAGAGAAGTATTGGAGAAACAATCAAGTAGATGGAATTATTTTTGCACCTCATTTACATTTAATGCAATAATAAATACCCTTTTGCTTGCATCTCCATATTTCTGCATCGGAAAATTCAACTGCTAACTAGTATACTAGTATACTTTTATCTAATGTCAACAGCATTTATTGGCGGAATCACGTTTCATTTGTTTTTTATTCTGTGGAAAATGAAAGACCAATCAGCTGGCCAGATTTAATACTGAATTATAAATATGTCACAGGTCATATAAATAAAAGGCTGTGTCCCATTTTGATCACAATCGATCCTCCCAGTAACTAACAAATAACTAACAAAATGACTTGTAGATCCTCTGTTATTTTGGCATGGCAGTGTAGTTCGTGTGAAATTACGCGTGAGGTTTGAACTATTAGCTTTTGTTATCTCCCGTGCTTATTTTGCAAACAGAAACTGCACAGATTTCTCTTGTGCAGTGGGGCAGTGACACACAAGTACAAAAGTTCCCGTGTAAGACGGCCCAGGTACTCGGAACCAGGAACTTTGGTGGAAAAGTGCCCTTTGTGGTGGCCTGTAACGTGGCCCCTGGCCTCTTCCATACATCCTGCCCTCACGGCTAACGGCAGATGGGAGCAGCTTTGCAGACCGGCCTCGGTGTGCTGATTGGCTGTCCAATCATGTTAGAGCCCTCCCTCAAGTCACAGGGCAAATGGGAACAAGGGGAAGTGACCATCATGCTCACCCCCCAGTCCGATTCCCTATTTAATCTCATTGCCCCCCCTTTAGTTATTCCATGCCAGTTAGTCAGCATGTTAGTCTGCAGTTCGCCATGTAGGACATCTAAGAAGCTGACTGGGTAGGTCATGGAGAATCGTGTCCCCAGCCTGATCCAGTGATGGATGGGGTCCTGTGTATAGACTGTCATCCCAGATGAAGGGCGATATGTCTGGATGGGTTTTCTCTCCCCTGCTGCCTTTTATATCATTTCTTGGGCTCTTATCAGTAATTGAGACATTAGCGACCGCTAGCCCTTGCTAACCCCCAGCAGCAGATGCTTTCAGGTTCCAAAGTGGTGGAAAAATTCCCAACCTCTTCTGCTATTCAGTGTTGGAATGGTCAACTTTTTTTTTTTTTGGGGGGGGGGGCTTTTATTGCCATTTACCACAACTGCTCATTGCATGTTCTGTATTCGCTCTCGCCCATCTTTGTGTGTTAGATGTCTGTCCCTGTCTTCCCTCCTCTTTCGGTTTCACACTTGTGCTCTCTACACACTCATTGAGACGCCAGTCTAACCACCCTCCCCATTCACGCCTAGCTACTGGTGAAGTGCAGGTGACGCTGCACACCCTGCTCCCTGGCAGTCGGTTGGATCTGCAGTGCTATGACACGGACGACTACCAGGTGGTGAGGTGGACCAAAGACCAGGTGGCACTGTTGGACGGCGAGCGCGTGCATCTGCGCGACGGCCACCTGGAGATCGACCCCCTCGATGTGTCCGACTCCGGCTACTACGCCTGTTTCTCCCATGGTCCCTATGGCAACCATAGCAACTACTTCTCTGTTAACGTCACAGGTATGTAGATGCATCCCCAACTCTTCTGGTAGCACATATAAGCTTCTTCTTTGACAAAAGCAGATTAAATTTAGGGTGGTATGGTGCCTCCCTTTGCATTTCATCCAGACACCCCCACAAGCTTCAGCAGGGTAGGCAGGTAGAGGATGGATGATTGGATGGATGGAGAGTTCCATTATACTGCTCTTAGAAGAGAACACAGGAGGTGGCCAGTCAGCTGGACTGTAAGCTATGGACTTGAGCATTTTCCTCACTCATTATCCCTCAAACTGGGTCTTTGCAGACTTTGCAGATATATGAATTGTGCTAGTACAGTTCTAAGCTTCTCCTCCTTGTGGTTCTGCCGGCTTAATACATGGAGAATGTGTACACCGTAATGTGGAATGTTCTGGTCATTTGGAGGCCAAGAATGCTGCCGTGTGTTTTTGGGGGTATGACTCGGCTATGTGAACGCTGTCACTCCCTGGCACTTTCCCCCTCATGTCCCGTGACCCAGTTCTCAAAGGACGATTTGTCATGACTGAGTCAGCGTGTCACTGTGACAGCAGTTGTGAAATCATACATATGCTCTGGATTAGTAGAAGAACTTGGAAGTAAGAGTTATAGAAAAGAGAACCTATTTCAACTGCTTTTTGTTCTGACTGTGTCTGAGATCCAGGTTTCACTCTTTTCTTAACCCATAGGAAAAGGGGAGAGGAGTTGTATCCCATATATATGGTTTCACAAATCAGTGGCTCTCTTTCCCATAACAATGTGTCCCTCTCGTATTACAGCAGTCTTTCTCATTTGCAGCTGCCCTTATTATTTGAGGGAGATATCGGTTACAGTGAAGTTTGACAGAAACGTCCACCCGAGTTTCACTCTCTGCTGACACTTACTGCGGCCGTCTCGTCTTTCTAGCCGATGCACTGCTGTCCTCTGAGGACGAGGATGAAGACGAGTCTTCCTCAGAAGAGGCAAAGCTGCCCAACTCTACGAAGCTACGTAAGTGTTAATGTCCATCAAAGCAAAACCTAGGCTTACTGATCAGCTTTTATTTATGTACTTGTATCAGTAGTGCTAGTATTTTTTAGTAAAATTGACTTAACCTGTACCTGGGATATTAAGTGAAGTTCCATGCTCGAGTCACTACTACAGGGCCCCATCAAGGTTACAAGTCTGTCCTTAACACCATTCTGGCTTCCTACCTCTCCTGGGGCATTTCTCAGCACCAAGAACACAAAGAGTGTACTTGAGGTCTTGGCAAGACTGATATGATCTTGCCTCCCAAGAGCGAACTTGGGCGCAGTGAATTATGGGATTGGTCCTATTTAGTGAGGATGCAGACAAAGTGTCCTTGATATTTGGGGTGGAGCGAGAACAACATTTGGGGATATTTACCGTCCTCCGTACTTCTGTTCTTGAGTATTGGAACTGGTCTACAACAATGGAAGATGACGTAAAATGGCTACACGAGAACACATGTACGGTCAAGTGTGCATCTTGAGAACCACCCCTATAGTGATATGCTAACCGTTGTCACATTAGCACATTGACTGTCATGACGAGTTATTCAGCATAAAGTGCTGGAGGTTCAGGGTTCTGCGTCTTAGGTAATGAGACGGAAATCGGTTTTGGCTCCTCAGCCATGCCCCCCCAGTGGGCCCAGCCGGAGAAGATGGAGAAGAAGCTGCACGCCGTGCCGGCCAGCAAGACCGTTAAGTTCCGATGCCAGGCAAATGGGAATCCCAGCCCCACGCTCAAGTGGTTCAAGAACGGCAAGGAATTCAAGAGGGACCAGCGCATTGGCGGCTTCAAGGTATGGTGGAGTCACTAGGCATCTTCCAGCTTGGCCTGGGGGGTGCAGGGGGCTTCTGGGAGCCCGACATGCCACTCCCGTTTACTCAGATGGGGCAGGATGCAGTATAAACCGTTTCCCTCATACCAGGAGGCTTGTGTCTCTGTGGGGGTGACTGGCTATGGGCTCCTGGATTCCTCGAGTGCCGGTAAGGCTGCACACACTTGGCGCGGCTGTAGTAACCCATGGTTAATGGTTTTTCATCAGTAGTTATATTTGTTTATCTAGTATTTAATGAAATCAAAGATACTTTTTATACCTTGAAAAGCATTCACATTCCAACAAAACATTTCAACGAAAGGAAAAGACATGTAAATTTTCTATCAAATGTCACACCAAGTATCTAAAATATGTTATTGTTGAGGCTTTTGACCTTTGTCTAATAATGTAATTTAAATCCAGAAATTTCCTGCGGCTGAGATTTTATTGTTTTTGATGCCCCGATGTGTGTTTAGTATGATTATAAAGCAGCATTTCTTGCTGATTGGAGACATGCATGGGTGTTTGTGGCCTTTAGGCTGCCCCCAGTGGCCAGGTGGAGAATGAGAGGTCAGGAGGGAGTGGTGACGCCGTCAGTATGCTGTTAGGGATCTGTTACAGACCATTACCGCAGTGCTAACTCTTTCCAGAGTGGGGAAACATCAAAGAATGGGCCTGAAATCAAAAGCCGGCAGAAGCCTTTGACTGTGTTTTCCTGCTGCTGCGCTGGTGTGCGCTACGTGATCGAGGTGTTATGGGCTTAGCTGTGGGTTTAAAATAAAATGCAAACTGCAAGCAGGTGATGCTAATGCATTAGCATGGGCAGGAAGTGTGCTTCTGAATATGGATGCAGGTAATCGGGAGAGATTTAAGGCATCTGTGGCCTAAGACTCCCAGACAGCCATGTTATGGGGTGGGGGCTGATTCATGTAACTGTTTTGATAGCCTTGCTTACTCTCACGGTCCCAAGTGGTTGTGGTAAAGATGGTAAATCAGCCTAGGCCAAAGAGCGTGCCCCCAGGGGTTGGTTTTAGCCCTTCTTGCACATGGCCCAGAGGCAGGGCTCCTCCTCCCATTGGCTTTATTTGACCAATCGCGGTTGGGCAGCATGCGGGTGGGGGAGGAGCCAGCCAAGGCTGGATAGCAGCCAGCCAAAGGGAACATGGAGTGCTCTCCCAGGCACACGGCTCTTTGGAGGGCCTTCAGGATGAGGAAGTTCTTGTTGGCTGGCGAGCCTGGCGCTCTGACGTGGCTTGGCTTCTCTCGCTATGAAGGACGTGAGCCTCCTGCGGAGGGACCTCCTGAACACAGTCTGGAACCGCAATACCGAGGCTCTTTGGGGGAGGGGGGGAGGGGGGGGTTGCTTGCAACCGTGGTGACGGATATGCTTAGCTGTGCACGGTGACCCTGCCCCAGAATCTGGTTTTCTCATCAAGGTGTCATCCAACCCGTGCCCCCCCCTCGCACCTGGGGCCCATTAAAACACTTCCTATCTTCCGAGCAGACTCTCCTAGGCAGTTCGTATACTTTTCACCATATGGTTCCTGTTTTCCAGTCAAGGTGCAAAGGTGTGCTCTGGTGGTTAGGGATATCTTGCCACCCCCCACACACGTGCTTGTACACACAATTTACTAAGCATGGCTCCATTGTTTTCATACCTCAAATATACAGGGACAGGACAGCACCAGAAATAAACCACCATGTGCATTAAACATAGACCCTCACATATGGCAGCGGTAAGACCCTCTGTGCCCCCCTCTGCATTTCGGGTTTCTAAATTAGGGGAATTGCTCAGGCATAAAGCCTTTGTGTTTGTGCCGGCTCCCCAGCTTTTGCAAAAGGTTCCAAATCCCGCCGTTTCCTGAGCGCCTGATCCGTCGGACCGCGCCTCTCTTTGATCTTGTCGGTTTTTTCTGGCTTTGAGAGATTACTTTTGTTTTATTCCTAAGTGAAGATGTTTCATCAACATGTTGGTTGACTAAACCCCTTTTAAAAAAACGACATGGAATTATTTGGTCGTAATTATATTTTTTGATTGAACACTTATGGTTCACTTAAATGACTCTCATTTAAGACGAAACTTGACATCTCACATTATGAGATGCAGAAACCAGTTATATTGGATCAAGGACTACAAATATACCAGTGGATATTTTGTGGAAGGACATGGGATGTGGTTAAGACTTTGGCCCCTGGTTTCTGCTGTGTGCTGCAGACGTCTACTCCTAATGTGCTTATAGCCCCCCCCCCCCCCCCCCCCCCCCCCCCCACCATGAAGATATTAAGAAGGGTTAAGGAATCTGTCATCTGTATGCAGTGTCATGCGCGACTGCAGAGAACTGAAGTTAAGCTGTGCAGATGTGTCCCTTTATGATTACCATGCCTCCCACATTTAATTTTCATGCATTTAAGCATCATCTACTAGAGGAATTGCCACATGGTACAACAGTACAGAAGTGAAGGGATGTTCATGTAGCTATAGGGAATAGTGAAATATGAATAATGATATTACTAAAAATCTTTTAACTTAACTGGCTGTTGGCTGAACATTCACAGGCACAGAGGTGCCTGCCCAGAGCTGGGGGTCATGACCGGCAGGTCTAATGATAAGAACTCTGTTTATCTCATGGCGAAAATCTATAAATCGGGGCTCTGTGGAGCTGTTTGCGGCTTGAGGTCATGCTCAGTTTACACTAACAGCAGAATGTTCTCACTCACTGAATTAGCTACCTAATTATCCCATCTCACTCACCGATAGTCGCTTTTGCTGTTCACTTCAAATTAAAGACGTCCCTGCAACCTGATTTTCACATATAGAATATTTTTTATTTTGTGGAGAGTTTTTTTAAGCCCATTGCTCACAGTCCTGGGTATTGTTTTTACATAAATTTCTTTTTGCCAGTTATTTGCCAAGAGTATGAGTGATTTGAGCTTTGATAACCAGATGGGAAAATGAGGTACCAGTATATTTTTGCAGTACATCAGAATAGCAATGCTAACAGTTCATTTACTGAATTTTGTTCTTTTAAGCTCACATTCTTGGTGTCCGCATTCATTCTACGTTGATTCTCAAATTAGAAGAAGCTGCAATCTCATGATGTCAGGCTGATGTCATGATGGCTTGAACGTTTGTTTTCAGCGTTTCTCCACAGGATATTAATTGTACAGTGAGTTTTCCAGCAGGTGTTCAGAGGAGTGTTCAGGCTTATCAGCAGAGGTCGTCATCCAGCCGGTTCTCTGCTGGTCATCCCTCCCTGCTGCGGCCTCTGACCGCCCACAAGTGTGCGCTGACACTCCCTGTCTTCTGCCTTAGGTCCGAGAGCATGTTTGGACCATAATCATGGAGTCCGTGGTGCCCTCGGACAAGGGGAACTACACCTGTGTGGTGGAGAACAAATATGGCAGCATCAACCACACCTACCAGCTCGACGTCGTCGGTCAGTTCCTGTCCTCCAAGTCGCTCTACTCACTTTTTTGTCGTTGCTCTCCCCCTCAACCCGACCTCTATGCTGATTCCCTCCTGCATGATGGAGTGATGCAACTCCTACATCATGAGATCCTACTGAGGAGCGCTAGTCTGACACGTCACCTTAAGTCACAGTGTTTCATCTGCGGTTCCAGATGTTGCCCTTTAAAATAAGGGAGTATCCTTAAGAATCTCCTCCTTTCACAGCTCAGCTGAGAGTGATTCAGGATATGCCTGAAGACCAGGTACCTCATTTGAATGAGTGTTACATTTATATAGTGCTTTTCAAAACACCATAAGTGCTTCACAGAACCAATGGGGAGCCACTCGAACCACCATCACTGTGTAGCCCCCACCTGGATGATGCAATGGCAGCCGTTCTGCCCCAGTCCTCCCACCATACAGTAACTGAGGTGGTGAAGGGGCAGGAGAGAATTCACCAATTAGATACAGGGGATGATTAGGAAGCCAGATTTGATAGGGCCACAGTGGGCAATTTTAGCCAGGACATCGGGGCACCACCCCTACTCTTTCAGAAGATGCCCAGGGATCTTTAATGACCACAGAGAGCCAGAACCTCGTTTTTTTACATCCCATCCAAAGGAGGGCACCATTTTTGGCTCATCAAACTGCGTAAATTTGATTATGAAAAATATGTACGCACAAAAAGAAAAAATACATACGCGCAACAACATTCACATTTACACACGAGTACACAAATTTCTCCTCGATATGCATATGGGCACAAGCTTGCATCCCTGCCTAACTGCCGCCCAGAAATATCCATAAATGGTCAATGCAAGTGAATTGGATGCTCATATAATATGCAAATCAAGAATTTCTGGTTGCAAAGTCCGACGACAGCGACTATAAATGGGGGAAAAAAAATCAAGAAGGGGAATTTTGAAAAATGTGATGTAGAAGCACCACCGAATGTCATTTTGAGGGCCTCAGCAATTTATCACAAACAAGAAAATCTATACGGACATTATTAATGATTTATCACACACACGTATTTACAGTATTTGAAATCGCAAATGAAATTCTTAAAAGCAAATAAATAATCTTTGGCTCATAAAAAAAGAATCCTGGTAGAATAAAATAATGATAATAAATAATTTTTCATTTTTCATGTGGTTGATGGTATGAATGGGCGCCGTGTGGGCAGTTATTTCCCAGTTCCCCGCTTTAGAGTGGGAGTTGCCTTTTCCCAGTTTTGTCTGAAATGTTGCGTAAACCACCACCTGTGTTTTTCGTAAGTCCATCCATTTTCTGAAACCGCGTGTCCTATTCAGAGACGTGGGCGGTCCAGAGCTTATCCCAGAGGCTACGGGTGCAAGGCAGGGAACAACCCAGTATACACATTATCTCCTATGAAGTTTTGGGCTTCCCCTGCACCATTATGTGAAGCGAGGGTGCTCCTTGTCTGTGACTGTGTGGGTACAAGCAGGAGGAATTTCCCTTACCTGCCCCTCCCCCCAACACCTCAACCAACTCACCTCTGTTTACTTTTCACAGATTTCCACTGCTGTGTATTCAAACATCATGAGCCTAATGGTCTGTTCCCATGAAATCCACCCTTTCATAGTCACATAGTAACTATTTCCTCTTTTTTTTTGCGTGTCGCCCCTCCCCCCTACCTGACGTGCACAGAGCGCTCCCCCCACCGGCCCATCCTCCAAGCTGGGCTGCCGGCCAATCGTACGGCAGTAGTGGGCAGTGACGTGGAGTTTGTCTGCAAGGTGTTCAGCGACCCCCAACCTCACATCCAGTGGCTGAAGCACATCGAGGTCAACGGCAGCCGCGTTGGCCCCGACGGCCTGCCTTACGTGCGCATCCTCAAGGTAGGGGCCCTTGCATTGCATTGTGGGAAATCGCCGATAAGCTGAGATATGTAGCGTGTAGTTCATGAGAGTCTCCATTATCCCCAAAGGAAATTAGTTCAGCAAAGGAGACACACGTGAGTGAATATGCATTACCAGTCAAATGTCTGGAGACACCTGCTGAAAATCATTGTTTTTCATCAAGAGAATGACCCTAAGCACGCCAGTATTATCTTGTGAACAAGAAATTGAGGCCTGAGACAGATGACCTGGCCCCCACAATCCCCCAACTCTATGGAGCTGGTTCGGCATGAGTTGGATTGAAAAGTAAGAGCAAGACGGCCAACTTGTGCCCAGAACTTGTGGAAACTCCTTCAGGACGGTTGGAGAAGCGTTCCAGGTGGCTACATCTGGAAGCTGGTTGAAAGAATGCCAACATTCTGCAATGGTGTCATTGGAGTAGAAGGGGGCTACTTTGAAGAGTCTAAAACTTGACATTTTTTCTTTTGGTCTTTGCTTTTTGGTTATTGATACATTGCCTCGAGGTCTTGTACTGTATGGTGAATAACAGCTGAGATAGAGACAAATGTGTTAAATGCAGGTGTGTCCAGACATTTGACAAGTAATATATTTACTTATTTAGTAGCTATTTCTTGCATATTTAGGAATTATTTATCTGCACTGTGGTTCAGTTCCGTGCAGAGGCTGGGACGCTGCATCCCAGTCACATGATTTCACACCCTTCTTGATCTGTATTGGCTGAAACCACAATCTGCAGCGTACGCTAGCAGTCAGTCCGATCTCATGTCCCTTTTTGTGCACAGTCACAACAAGCTGTGAGAGTGTCACTGTATAGGAAATGACCTCACGGCCCATCTTCCCCCCCGGCCTTCACCCACCCGCCATCGGACGCCGCTGACCTGTGACCTTGTAAAAAGATGTTTTTCTTATTTCCAGCACTCGGGGGTTAATAGTCTGGACACTCAGGTGCTGACCCTCTACAATGTGACGGAGGAGGAGAGCGGGGAGTATGTATGTAAAGTGTCCAATTATATAGGAGAGGCCAATCAGTCGGCCTGGCTGACTGTCTCCAGGCACGAAGCACAAGGTAACCACCTGGAGGAGATGCACAGACAGACAGAGAGAGACAGACAGGCAGACAGAGAGAGAGACAGGCAGACAGGCACAGCCGGGACACGGACAGAGGAATGCTGTTGTGACAGACTCAGCTGCTTTTCTCCCCCCTCCCTCCTCACCTTGGTGTTTCTGACCATGACGCCATGGAAAACCCCAGCAGAGCTGTTGAAGTGTTTTGATCCTTGATTTCACTTCTTCCCATCCATCTCCCCTCCCCGGGCTGTCCTGCCCCCAGCCGCTGTCTTCCCCCCATGCTCTCCCCCACACTCTCTCTCCATTGCCCTCCTAAAAAGGCCATGCAGACCTTCTCTGCTCTTTGCTGCTCTTCAGCTCTCACTCACTGAATTCCTTCAGCGTCTCTCCCCCTCCCCTCCCCATCTGTGCCCGATCCTGAGTGAGTGATGCTCTGCTCTGCTGGGTACCATTCCATGTAGCCCATCTCCCGCATGTTGAGATGGCACCAGAGCCTCCTCCTGAAACGGTGACGGGTCAGTGTAGCGTCCATTAGGCCCCCCCGCGCTCTAACTCGCTCCTCCACTAACCGGGCGTTGGGTGGAATCTCGCAGGATTACCTTGCAGGCTGGGGGGGGGGAGCGGTGAGATGGGGCCACCCTCACTCAGTCCCGCCCCCTCGTTGGACCATCGGACTGCACCTCCTTTTCTGTCTTATTTTCTTCTCATGCTATTTTCTCCTGGGCCTTTTGTCGGGTCTGCTTCCATTGTTCTTTTCTAGAGTGCTGGCCTTAACACCACGGACAAGGAAATGGAAGTTCTCCAGCTACGGAATGTGTCTTTTGATGACGCGGGGGAATATACCTGTTTGGCGGGCAATTCTATCGGGTATTCTCACCACTCTGCATGGTTGACCGTTTTTAAAGGTATAAATGGTTCGGCTCCTTCTCTTGACTTCCTTCCTCTCCTAAACCTTCCGCTCGCCCTCCTCCCTTCCCTCCACGTTGGCCTGAACTTGACGTTGGTCCATTAAGCTGTGGTTTTGAGATGGTTTGAATAGCACTTATGGATGTAAGGGTTTAACTTCAGACTTGGGTTCAGGTGCAGTAACCAGCACTGCTGTTTGTTTGAGGGAGGAAAGCTCACAATGGAGAACATCATGGACCTCAGCAACATCATGTGGTATCCTGGTGATTCTAGTAGGTCCTACAGCTTCAGACTGAAAGGCAGTATTAGTGCATGTTCATTTTCTTCTCTTTAATATAATTTAATATATCCTGTTAATAGGTTATATTTTGAAGGATAATTCTAAGTACAAGACTTTCTTGAAGCCTATGAAGATGTCATAGTGTCTAAGCAGCAATGGACTATATCATCAGAACAGCTTTCTTGAAGGTCGTTTGTGGACCTGGTAGGGATCATTAACTTGCCTAATTTGGTAATGAGGATATTACCAATAACTCCATTTTACATTGTGAAATGATGAGTGAGAAAATTGCTGAACATTCATGACAAATGGAGCAAATTGGCAGGAGACGATAACCTTCAATTCTTCCAAGAGCAGGTGGTATTGATATCAAGAGGAACTGTATTTGCAGACAGTGTTTATTCTGTATGGAGTCAAAATACAAATTGAAACTGATCTTTTAAAATGCTGTTGCATGGAATAGCGATTAGTTTTCGGAGCACACACATGCATCCTGTTTTGTGGCAGGTTGCTTGGTAAGTGTTACCCTGGTAACTCTGAGTTTGCTGAAGGCGCTGCACCTGGTCGATGGAGTGACTTCTTGGTCTCCCAGTAGGAATCTCGTAAACCAGGGTGGAGAATGAGGTCAGGGTGGGATACAACAGCCAGCCATGTTTTTGCAGTTCCTTCGAAAAATTAATTTCTTGAGTGGCATTCCCTGCTAATTTATAACTGCAGGCTAAAAGATGCCTTTTTTTGTTTAAAAACTGCTGTCTAGTTATGCACGACACTCAACAAAAGTAGCCTTCTGCTAAATCTGTTTTGTCAGTTCTTTGAGGGAGCAGTAATTGTCAGTGCAGTCAGGCCATCATGTTGGAATCTAACCAGCCCTACCTTTCCTGAACCTCCTCCTAACATTCCCTGTCCTAGCTGAGATGGGACACGATTCTCATGTCTCCCTTTTCTCCAATGAAACCACTGCTAGTCAGACCCTCCTATGGAAAGTTGCAGTGTGCAAAACTGTAGTTGCTCAAGACCCACTGTAACATTACAGTGTGAAATGAATCCTAGGAAAGTCGTTCATTTCTGATAAACTTACAGGACTAAGGAGTTTTATAATGCAACTGTATTTAGCATAACCTTGAACAAGTCATTTGAAAACATTAATGTTATTTGTCAAACTTTTTCTTGTTCACTGTAAATTTCCCTGAGAGTTTGACAAGGCTGGCGGTTTTATTCAGATTCTTCCTATCTTGATTGAACATTTTTTGTGTGTGTGTGTTTGTGTTTGATCATACGACTGTTTTGTGATAAAAGCCTTGAATAGTCAACCCCACTGATATCATTTCCTGCTGTGAAATGAACCTCAGTGTGCTCTTCAAGGTTGGCTTCGATAATTGGTCTCCCTTCTCTGGGAGTTCAAATCCCGGTCAGGAATTTGAACGTTTTAGTCCAATTATCAGCTCATTTGTTGAGCCTTGAAACACAAGTGGAGATCTTCCGTGTTGTTGGTGTTGGTGTAGCATTAATGTTGGTGTCCTTCAAAGGGAGAAGCAACAGTGCGAGACCTTCCACCTTTTTTTTTTTTTTTATCTTCTTAAGTCTCAATTGATTACCATTCAGTGACAGCACTCCGGAAATACAACAACCAGTTATGCATTATAATAAGTCAAACCTGGAAATACTGGGAATATATGACATTTTGTATCACCAACCAGCACTCAAGAGCCACATTTCTAAATTGATGAATTTTACGTACTATTTACAGAGTAATAAAAAATACATAAGGGAGATTGATTGAGAAGCATTACTTCTGATATGTTGTGCTAATTTTAAGGTTCAGTCTTTTGATTTTATGCGTGTAAATGTTTTGACTGTGTTATTGAGCGCTTATGTGTAATTGCTAATCTATTAAAAACAGGACCCGCCGTTTCCTGAATTCTATGAACATACAGAATCTAAATCAGTCCAAAGTTCCATCTGAATCTTATGAATTCCATATGCTCTTCCTATATTTATCAGAAGGAGCTTCTTGGAGCCTTTCTGTCTGAATGCCCCCGAACCACCTAGCGGGCGGCACCCAGGGGCGGCACCCAGGGGCGGCACCCAGTGGCACGTGGTTCTTGCTTGGTCGGTTTACCACTCGTAGCTCTTGGGATGCCTCATGACTGGACTGGCCTGTTTCTTACTCAGGGGGGGGGGGGGG